AATCACATTCCACTTATTGATGAAAACGATCAATTATTAATGTTTCAATACATTTATCATTAAATTGTTATGTATTTGTAAGTATAAAGATTGGTTTCTTCATTAAAATTTTTTAATATAAAAACATAGAAGGAAAAAACTAATATTAATGTAATAACAAACATGTTTTACATATTTTTTATGTGATTCGCTATAATAAAATATAGATCATCGCATTTTTTTAATTTTTATTTTCTAGTTATTATCAATTCTACAATAATTATATTAAAATTTATTTATAAAGTGTGAAAAATAGAAAACGTTTTATCTATAATGATATTAAAATAATAATTAATATTATTTTAAAATGAAAATATATATTTACTAAATTATTTATTTCTCAGTTCATTTTTATTCAAATAAAATATTTGATTACAAAATGTTTTATCTATGATATTTGTTAGCCTAAATCATTAAAATATTTAAATGTACTTCTTTGATTTTAACTAATTTACATCCTTTAAGAAAATTGGTTAATTTATTTATTGCTTTTAAATATATCAATAATTTATTCTTAATATTATCTTTCTTTTCATTTAATTGTTTTCCATTTATTTATTTAATATTTGGAGAGAGAATAATGATTATGTAATTTGTGACAACTCATCTTTTCAATATTTATTATTTTTGGTTAAAAATGTGTGAACTAATTAAGAAGATTTTAGGAAAAATAATTAATATAACAGCCAATTTGGAAAAAAATTATAAAAGGAACACACAGTGTTCTGAAAAAATTATTGGTACATCTTTTCATTTCCATTCACATATGAAAGCTTGCATACACTACTAGAAAATATGCTTTTAACGTCGCTGTTTAACGTCGGTTACATCTTAGCCGACGTTGAATATGCTTTCAACGTCGGTTGGTCAACAACCGACGTCGAAAGTCGAATTTTGACACATTCTACGTCATTTTAGCATGCCCGACGTGGAAAGTAGGCTTTCAACGTCGGTTATGCCCTCACCCGACGTTGAAAACCCTTCTGCATGGGCTTTCAACGTCGGGTGTGGGTATAACCGACGTCGAAACCCCGTAAGCAATATATTGATTTTCTTCCCCACAAAAACTCACACACTTTAGATAGTGGTTATATGGGAACCGCTATCTAAAGTGCACTTTAGATAGCGGTTCTAAGGGAACCGCTATCTAAAGTACACTTTAGATAGCGGTTATAAGGGAACCGCTATCTAAAGTACACTTTAGATAGCGGTTATAAGGGAACCGCTATTATATCCTCTCAATTATGATCGATCATTTCAAGTTATGATCGATCAGAATCTTATTTCGCTCGAGCGAGAGTAGTGTCGCTCAAGCGAAATACAACCCGAGAATGCCAATTTTGTGCAGGGGGCGTTTCGCTCGAGCGAGAAGAGTGTCGCTCAAGCGAAAAACATTTTAGGTAGCGGTTAACCTGGAACCGCTATTATATTGTTTCAATTATGATCGATCAGAATGCAGTTATGACCGATCAGAACTATTTTAATCGATTAAATCTTGTTTCAATCAATTAGAACAATTTCTGCACAGCGTTTTAATCGATTAAAACTTGTTTTTATCAGTTAAAATAACTTGAAAAGTTTTACGAGAAAGTTTTGCAAGTATTTCAATCGATTGAATCGCGAAACAATCGATTAAATCAACTTAGAAGATTTTTGTAAAGTGTTTTAATTGATATAAACGTTGTCGTATCAGCTTAAAACAAATCTGTTAAAGAATCAAGAACGTATTAATGGATTAAAAGAAGTTTTAACAGATTAAAGCTGCACTTTAACAGATTAAAAGAATCTTTTAACAGATTAATTAAACCAAGCAGCTTTGAAAATCTTCTATAAAAACAGTTTGGCTTGAACTTTTTTAACATACATTGAATATATCATATTTTACACATCCTTGAGCAATCAATCAATCGCTAATTGCGACCGAATTAAAGTGGGGGTTGGCTCGAGGTTAGAGTTCGACGTCACTAGGGTATGCGTTAGGGTTCGAGCTCCGCTGGGTTTGCGTTGGGTTTCACATCATGACAATTGGGTTTGGCTTGACATTGGGGTTCGATGTCGCCAGAGTTGGGGTTCGGCCTCGAGTTCGTCGAGGTTGAGGCTGGGGTTGAGATTCGAAGTTGTTTGGGTTTTGATTGGGTGTTTTGGTCACTCAGATTTGAGATTCAACGTCACTGGGTTGGATTTCAAGCTTGAGGTCAGGTCATGCATGCTGGGTTAAAGATCTTCGAAGCTGGAATCGGATTTGAGATTCAAGGTCACTGGGTTGGATTTCTACAAGTGATATTTACACGGATATATATTTATTTGTATATAAATATAATTTATTTGTATGTTATTATCAAAAAATTCAAGTAGTTTAGTGGTTGGAGTATCAGCCTCCAACTCTAAAGTACTGGGTTCGAATCCTGCCAATGACAATTCTCTTAAAAATTAAAAAACTTCTAAAAAATATAATATGAAGAGAGGGGAGACTTCTAGATAAATAAAAGGGGGTAAAGGGGTTGTAAATAAATAAAAATTATTAATTTAAAAAATCATAAACCGACGTTGAAAGTCGACTTCAGAGTTACGACTTTCAACGTCGGTTTAATAACCGACGTTGAAAGCTTTATTTGTAGTAGTGATAAGATACTTGAACCCTATCTTTTTCTATTTTTCAATTTTCCTCTTTCTCTCCATCTCTTATTTGTCTCTTTTACCGTAAGGAGTGAAAACACATATATTAAGTGTCTCTATATCTACATTTTTTATAATTAATTTCTTTTAAAATATATTTTTAAATTTTCTTTTCTTTTTCTCTCCACTAATTACATGTCATATTTTCTTTACTTTGATATATTTTGCTACTTATATATATATATATATATATATAATATATAATATATATATATATATATATATATATCATAATATTGGTACTTTTTTAATATATTTTTCTTTCTCTTATAATACCAAGAAACAGTTATAAAAAGAAATATTCATTATATATAAGTGGAAATACAGGTGGTAAAGTGCTTGCATCTTAATATTTTTTTATAATTAATTTCTTATAAAATATTATTTTAAATTTTATTTTATTTTCTCTTTCTACTATTTACATATACCAACTTTTTTTTCGTATTACGTATATCGTATTTTTCTTTTTCTCATATTTTGACTATTTTTAAATATATAAATTATAATGATTCTTTGTTAATTCTAAAATTTTCATTTTTCTCTATCAGATGACACCAAAAATACCAAAAGAGCTATTAAAAAAATAATCCTTTTTATATAGTTATAGATTATAGGTGATAAAATCTTTTGCATTAAGAAGACCTAAATATTATTTTGAAGGGAAACAAAGGCTCTCTTTTCTTTATTAATAATATGGATTGTTAATATGTTAGTTTTTTTTTTTAAAACAAGAAATTCAAACACACAATCTATCCTTTTTCAATTTTAATCATCAATTGAATCTTATATCTCCAAATACTCTCTTTTAAATTCATAATTTTTTGAGATTATTATAAATTTATATCATCTCAATCATCTATATATATAATATCATTCTTTGCAATAATAGTATTCAAATAATAACTATTTTATAATTAGTACTTTTTTTGTTATAATATTCAAATTTCATATTTTTAAAATACAATAACTCTTTTTTTAATATTTTTCAAGTTGTATATATAATTGGGACACAAATGTGAATGGCACCCTGAGATGTCGTCATCTTGTTTAGCATTGGTCCTAATTTTGATTCATGGCCACAAAATTTAAACAGAAGAATTTTCAACGTGACCAAACCCAGATAGTATACAAATATAGTATATGAGAAAAAAAATGCATTACAATTCGATGGATTTATATTTAACCTAATAAAAACATAATTATTGCATAAGAAGTTGGATTAAATTTAAATATCATTTACTTATCTGTAAATCAAATTTTTATTATTGAAAACACTCTAAAAATATCATTGTAGAATTCCGCAAGAAATATACAAAGAGCATGAGAGAAAGCATTCCATTTTATTCATTATTAAAGTGGACACAAGCCAAAAAAGTGCTTTACAACTGTATGAAAACACAATGATAATGAGAATAATAATAGTAATAATAATTCATAAACAATACAAACGAAAAAAGAAAAGCATTGACACATTTTTCTTCTTATGAAACAGAACGTTCGGAAACTTTGCTTCCGTTGTTTTCCGTGTGTGAATGCAAAGTGCATCTTCCTGCTATCAACAACGTTCTTTATTGGCACATATTCTTCATAAATAACCTACAAAGTACACGCACATGGTTAGCATAATAATTTAACAGTCCCTTTCATTGATTATTCCTTCAATAATATCAATAAATGAGGAAATAATTCTCCTTTATGTACTATTACAGGCTAAAATGCTTGTTATTTAGACTATGAATATATTTTTTTAACTAAAATTTTTACCTTTAATTATGTAAGTAGAAAATATATATGATATTGTATATGGTGTTAATTTCGAGTAAGAAACTATATGTTATTATTGTATTATACCCTTGAAAAGTGTGAGTCACTATCAAAGCTCTGGAAACATGCAAAAGGTTAACATCTTTTAAAATAATTAAAGTACACTTACGAGAATATGCTTAATTTGTTCCTACTAACCTTGAAACAAACAAATAATGGCTATATATGCTTCTAAAATTTCATTACAAAAATGTTAAACTGAAAGTGCCATGATTACTTTATGGTCAACAACCAAAAGCCTTTAAAATTTTGAAATTTCAAAACATGAATGTTAACATCACACTTCTGATTATCAGTTTACTATCAAAACTGTCACTTGGCGGAGTATAGTTACATAATTAGTAGCTTGCATGTGATTGCATGTAATGAAGAGAGTTTTAACGTACATATTATGTGATTATTATGATAATGTAGATTTTGTGAAGAAGCTTACCACAAGGGATACTGCGCAAAAGCACTATCTAATAGTGGTATGGAGGAGGAGGGGGGGATGCGTAGATGTAGTGTGGTGGAGGTGGTGAATGGACAGGAGGAGGAGGAGAGCTATACTTGTAAACTGGGGGTGGAGGGGATTTGTATTTGTAGACTGGGGGTGGTGGAGACGGGTACTTGTATGGTGGGGGTGGGGGAGAAGGGTACTTGTACGGTGGTGGTGGAGATTTGTACTTGTAAACTGGTGGAGGAGGAGAGTTGTACTTATAAACTGGTGGTGGAGGAGAAGGGTACTTGTATGGGGGAGGTGGAGGAGATGGGTACTTGTAGGGAGGAGGGGGAGACTTGTACTTGTAAACTGGGGGAGGAGGAGAATTGTATTTGTATACTGGTGGTGGAGGAGAAGGGTACTTGTATGGTGGAGGTGGAGGAGATGGGTACTTGTATGGAGGAGGAGGAGACTTGTACTTGTAAACTGGTGGTGGAGGAGACTTGTACTTGTAAACTGGTGGTGGGGGAGAGTTGTACTTGTAGACTGGGGGTGGTGGAGATGGGTATTTGTACGGTGGAGGAGGAGGAGATGGGTACTTGTAAGGTGGAGGAGGAGACTTATACTTGTAAACTGGGGGTGGAGGTGAGTTGTACTTGTAGACTGGAGGTGGTGGTGACGGGTACTTGTATGGTGGAGGAGGAGGAGATGGGTACTTGTAGGGAGGAGGAGGAGACTTGTACTTGTAAACTGGGGGTGGAGGAGAGTTGTACTTGTAGACTGGAGGTGGTGGAGATGGGTACTTGTATGGTGGAGGAGGAGGAGATGAGTATTTGTATGGCGTCTTTGGTGGTGGTGGTGGAGAGTGATAGTAGTAGGGAGGAGGAGGTGAGTGTTTAGGAGGTGGTGGAGAGTGGTAGTAGTAAGGAGGGGGTGGAGAGTGCTTGGGTGGTGGTGGAGAGTGGTAGTAGTAAGGAGGAGGAGGAGAGTGCTTTGGTGGAGGTGGAGAGTGGTAGTAATAGGGAGGAGGGGGTGAATGCTTTGGTGGAGGTGGAGAGTGGTAGTAATAAGGAGGAGGAGGTGAGTGTTTAGGAGGTGGAGGAGAGTGGTAGTAGTATGGAGGAGGAGGTGAGTGCTTTGGTGGTGGAGGAGAGTGGTAGTAGTAAGGCGACGGTGGTGGTGGTGGAGATGAGTAGATGTAATTGTCAGCCAATGATGGAGATGAGAAGGTGAGAGAGAGTATGGTTAATGCAAGAGTAGTGAGAGTGAGAGAGGCCATTGGAGACCCCATCTTGGTTTTGGTGATGCCATTAGGAAAGGAATGCTTCCCCTTTATATAGCTTCCTTTTTTTTTACCCAATTATCCAACTATTTATCTTGGTTGGTGGAGTTAGATTTCATCTGCCACAAACTCTCTCCTTAAAAAAAATGTAAACTAATAAAAAATAACGTGCATTGAGTTTTTTGAACCAATTAATGCAATCCAAGTTGGCTGTGGAACGCGGATTTGGATTTGATAGAGACAGCTAGCCATGAAAATAATTACAAAGAAGAAATTAAATTAACTAACCAATTATCTGGAAATGTTGACTATATATATATATATGCATGCATTTATTTTCTTTATCAGAAGAAGACACCAACCATCATTTCAATTTTTTTCGATTGCCCCAATTTTCCAAATTATTAAACTTGATAAACGCATTGTCCTTGTCAAGTGTTGGGCATTTGATGTAATTAATTTGTCGCATCTCTTCATTTTTTCCAAAAGTCTCGTAAGTATTTGTAGGAAACATTAGAAGCTCTAAGCATGGTGACCTTTTAAGTCATTTAGTACTTCTTCTGGGACCATGGCTGTCATAACCAGCTTCGAATCTTTTATCTTTTTCACTCTTTGTGGAGGCTGAAACGAATATGAACATATTGCATGGCATTCCTTTCCCTACCAAAGGAATTAAAGGCAGACAAAGACAAGTGCAGTCTATTAATTCTTTTACTTTTTTGCTTTCAGCATTTTACTGTCTAAAGTACACAACTATTGAATGAAATGGTTAAGCTAAAGAAATTGTCTTCAAATTCTCCATGTCTTCCAATTAATTACATACTACCATTCTCTGTTCCTTAATAATTCATCCATGGAGAAAATATATCACATGCGCACCACGTTCATGTCTTCCAATTATATACATATTTATAAAATATAATACAATCAACCATATATTTTGTACAATGTTGACTCTCTCATATATTTTGAACCAAAAAGTTTATATTTATCGAAATATATTGTTTATATTTTTCTTTAAAATATTAAAAATAATCGAGCATATTTACTGCCACATGTTAACATCCTCATTAATTACAAAGTTTCATTAAATAATGGTCAAACATTGAATGTTGATCAACGCGTAGTAATATATTGACCCGCATTTCATGTTCTACCCTTTTCAGTGAAAATTAACTTTACCAAACCCCTAAACTTTAAAGAGATACCATAAAATTTCTCCTCAAAATGAATCATGAATGGGTATAATGTCCCATAGTTTATTTTATATTTCTTTCTCTTGCCTATAAAGGAAGTCAACGACGAATATGAATAAAAAAAAATAACAAGTTAAAAAAAAAATGAAAGTTAATGTTGTGTCCCTATTGAGTAGATTAGGGTCATGTCTAGGTCAGATTTAGTTATATAGGGAATAGGGTTTGGTAAGCATGGAAGGTGACTTTAATCAATAATAAGCACGTACCTACGATTTCTACGATAAACTGAAGATCAATCTTTTTGGAAAAATGTAAAATAATAAAGAAAGAGTTATCACTTTATCCGATTTCACTATAAACCTTTTAAAATAACTCTGCCTGCATTTTTACTATCCACGTAATCAAAATGTTTTCTACCTTAAAATACTTTAAGAAATTAAAATAATAATAGTAAATTTATCGAGATTAAAGTTTTAAAAATTACACAAATTAAAATAAAATTCCATTCCTTTTATATAAATTAAAATGATAGTTTAAAATTTGAAATAAAAACCAAAGCACGATGATTATATAAATAATACAAACACGATATATTAATATTTGTTTCCACCAAATTTATTATGTAAATACTAACAATTTCCAATATTTTAAAAATGGAACTGAATATTGAATCAATCAAAACATTGATTCAATGATGAATGATTTAATTAGAGGAATCAATATTAATAAAATTATTTTATAATTCAAATTATTCAAAAAATATTAAAAATATATAATATCATAACTTTATTATGTTAAAATCTAACATAAAACATAAATTTGTAGATTCTCAATATTTAATATAAAATAAAAATTTGTGTATCATACTTAAATTGAAATTTAACAAGATACACCAATATTTTTTTAATAGTAACAAATTTGTATACAAAATAAAAAACAAAATATTAATATTTTGATATCCTCCATAAATATGAGATAATTTTTTTTTACTATAAATACAATAAAATTATAGGATTTAAATGAAATAGAAATGTTATCTTATAAATAATTTACATAGGTTGAATTAAATATCTCTCCAATTTTAATATAATTTTAAAAACAATTCCAACAATAAAGATATTATTCATTAATAATTATTAAAACAAATAATTTATTATAGGATTCTTTTTAAACCTTTCATATTTTAACGTGAGAGTGTGATAAAACCTATTTATATTATAAGGTTGAGTTAGACACTCTTTTTAGTTACAATATATTTTAAATTAGTAATTTTAAAGAAAAAATTACAATTATAAGTTATTACCTTTTCTTTAACTATTTTTATCAATTTTTTAAAATTTATTACCAATTTTACGCTTCGATGGAATCATATTGAAGAATAGTTTCCATCGAATTGATTTGAGAAGCATAATAAAAAGTAGAGTGCGATTGGTAAATAGACAAAGACACATATGATATGATTAGTTGATAATCAGTACAATATATTTAACCGGTTAAAAACTTAAAATATTAATATAATAATAACATATAATTATATATTAAATAAAATTGTGAATCGATTATATCATACACAACCTGTCATCAACTAAACATTTTGTACACAGAAAATTAGTATATTTATAATGGATGGTTACGTAAGGCTTTTTAACAGAAAGAAAATGGGAGGGTTTTTTTTTTCATGTGGAACTCTGGATCTCCATCTGCACCTCCTTTTTGACTCGTTAGATTATGAGTGACGGATGCCATTTTCCTGTGCCTGAGAGTGCGACAGGGAAAGCACCTTCTCACGTCTCACAATGATTTAGTTTAGACTTGTGTTCTTCCTTAATCTAACCCACTACAAATTTTCTTTCAACTTTTTACATCTACGTCAAAATCTACCACAATTTGTATACTTTACCTACTCCTTCTTCTAATTTATACCATTCAAATGCCTCCATTTCAAATTCGTTTATCTTTTAACATATTATAACGTATCAAATATATAACACCAAATATCACTACTACAAATAAAGTCTTCAACGTCGGTTCTGGAATGCTTTCAACTTAAAATATATAACATCAAATATCACTACTACAAATTCTGATTTTTCAAATTAAATTTTTTATTTATTTCCAACCTTTTCAACCCTTTTATTTATCTAGAAATCCCCCCTCTCTTTTATATATTATATTTTTATTATTTATCATATTTTTTTTAAGTTTAAAGCATTACCAAATTATTTTTTTGTCATCGACAGGATTCGAACCCAGCATCTTAGTGTTGGAGGCCGATACTCCAACCACTAAACTACTCAAATTTTTTGATAGTAAGTTACAAATAAATTATATTTATATACAAATAAATATATATCCGTGTAAATATATAAATACAAATATATTTATATATTTTGATATATATATATATATAATTATATATTTATATATTGGATGTGAGGGCACGCTCGAAGGTGAAAGTGTGTGTCGAGTGGGTTTTCAAAATTTAATGCCAAATTTGTGAGCGAGTCTCTATATATGGGTTTGTAATTTAAAGACAGTAATATAATATTTATAATTTATTTATATAATGATATAAAATAAATTTGAAAAACGCATCATTCGCTACACATTCGCTCAAGCGAAAAATACCAATTTTCGCTCAAGCTAGGCTTGAACGAGTGAATTTCTGTGAGCTTTAACGTATTTTCACTCAAACGAGAGTCAATCTCACTTTCACCCTCGATCGCGCCCTCACATCCAACATAAAAATATATAAATATATTTGTATTTATATATACATGGATATATATTTATTTGTATATAAATATAATTTATTTGTAAATTATTATCAAAAAATTATAGTAGTTTAGTGGTTGGAGTATTAATTTTCAACTCTAAAATACTATATTCGAATCTTATCAGTGACAATTCTCTAACTTAAGTGAATTTTTTACTGAAAAAAATAAAAACACTTTCCAGAAAATATATATAAATAAATATATATTTACACAGTATATATATTTATTTGTATATAAATATAATTTATCCGTAAGTTATTATCGGAAAATTACAGTAGTTTAGTGGTTGGAGTATTAGCTTTCAATTCTAAAATACTAGGTTCGAATCCTGTCAGTGACAATTTTCTAACTTAAGTGAATTTTTGGCTGAAAAAAAATAAAAACACTTTCCAGAAAATATAAATAAATATATATTTATACGGAATATATATTTATTTATATATAAATATAATTAATTTGTAAGTTATTTTAATATAATTAACTATTTTTCATTTTCTTATGTTTCTTCAATCGTGAAATGGTTCTCTATGTTGGAAGGATTTATATGATAAAAATGATCTTTTTAAGGAACTTTTCGTAAAATAAAGGTATTGTAAATTTTAAAACGTGTTGCACTAACTCAAAACATGTTTCATTACTTTAGAAGTGTTTTATCCTCTCATGTTATAGGTCACAACTATCCATAATATAGTTAAATGTGAAAATGAGTTTCTTCTTTTCTCTTCAAAATACACACTTTTACTTGTTTTTTTTATTCTAAATTTATTTACTCTTTTAAGAATTTTTTTAGTTGTTAAATATTTGAAAAGTTCACTATATATCTTGATATACTTGCACAATATACATCGCAAATAAATTCAGTGATTATACATGTTTTAAAAATTAAGTTTTGTTCATATCTTTGTTAACTTATACAACATTTGTTTCTTAACAATAAAATATAATATTTTGTATAATATTATTATAATCAATTGTAAATTCAAATATGAATTATTATTTAAAAATTTTAATTTTTTTTCATTTAACAAAATTAAAT